TATATTTGTGTTTTGGATTCTAAGTCTGACATAAACGTCTCTTACTGCTCCGGGAACCTCTGATCAGAATTTCACACCGTTTTACATTTTATAGGTTTTTATAGCAGAGGCGCACTCCCTTGTGTGGAAGAGAGTGCCAAGGACGCCTCTGGTAACATCACAACAAATGATAACATTTTTATGAAATAAAAGGCTTGTTATCCTTTAGTGGCACAGCATCATTTAGCCTTGTATTTAAGATATGAAATGATTGATTAAACTGTCGTTAAAGTCAGGATCTGTCTGATTCAGCTCAGTAATTGGTCGATCACATCGTGCAGTAATTAATCAGAGCAGGAAGCTGCAGTATCAGAGGAAAAATGGAGGAAAGAGTGAAGGCAAAGAGCTCAGTCAGACACAGTCAGGATCTAATGTGTGTCTTGCTGGTCAGACACCAGGCCGAAGTTTATAACCTGCAGTTGGACTCGTTGGACTTGGTTTTATGGAATAGAGGCTGCATCCATAATCCCTAAACCCTAACCCTGCATCATCAACCCTGAACTAAAGAATTAATTGACAAATAATGAAAGATAAATTGATGAGTCCCACTGTGGATTTGAATTTCTTAGCTGCTGTACGTTCATGAAAACTTTCTCAACCTTTTCAGTGGTTTCATTAACTTTAGTACAACACGACTGTTTTTCTTAAAAACCTGACATTCTGGGTGTACACAGGTTTTACTGGGCAACAGCAATAAATTCCAGGCTGTGTTATGTTCCCACAGGTATACTGAGTATAAACACACACCCACGTACACAAGTGTTTGAGTAATTCATAGCTGGGGACTGGGGACTTGATGCTGTGTACAGGCTGGTGAAAGAGCTCTTTATTGCTTGATATGAAGGTGTTTTTTTCTGTTTCGCTCTCACATACACAAGCTCGTTACTGTTCATTAGGGCTGCACCATATATCCTGTCACCATCGTCGTGATGCGAGTTTGTGCGCTAGTCACATTGCAGTAAGGCAAATGGAGAATGGTGGAGTAGCTCACGTCACGGAGGCTACGTCCATCTTTATTTACCTTCATTCATTTTCTAAAACAGCTCTCACTTTAGTGTCTTTTTTTTTTTTTTTTTTTAAATCAAACATTACTCAAACTGGAAGAAATAGTGCCTGTCTGGGACTATTTTCAGCAGCGGATTTATCCACATTTGGTGCTGTCATGAGTATTTGGAGCAGCGGGATGGTGTTTGTAGGGTTGAGTCAAAATAAACTATAGTGTGAGTCTGTTCGTGGTTGCTGGTTTCAGTCTGCACATGGGATTATTTTGTCATTTATGAACCACCATTAGTAAAACGTTTCCTGTCTTGCCGTTTTCATTTTAGTCATCAAACATTTAGGAAAAAATTTAAAACGCCTGCATTTTCGTATCCGCCCTCATCAGTGTGAACATGGCCTGTAATCAACAGATGTCAAAGCAACAGGTCTCCTTTCTTCCACCCCTCCCATCGCTCTCTCTTCCCTCTCGCCTCTTTTATAATGTCTCTCGCCCTGGGCGCCTGAGGGTACAGGCTCTCTTGTCTCTTTTCTGTCGCCTTTATCATGGAGCAGCAGGAGGTCTGAAGACAGCGTGGAAGACTTGAATGAGGACCTGCTGAGGAGGAGAGAGGCTGAGAGCAAACTGACTCATACAAGAACACAGCAAGAAAGCAATGACTCAGTGTGTGTGTGTGTGTGTGTGTGTGTGTGTGTGTGTGTGTGCGCACGCACGAGTACAAAGAATGATGCCTTTGTAGGTAAGCGGTGGTATTTTAGCTGTGGCCGGTCTCCATGGAATGCACGGGCTTCTTGGAAAAACGCACGGCTTTTTAGAAAGATCTGTGAAGGAGAGAAACTCCTGAAACTAAGAAATCACAGCCAAAATCATTCGAGAACATTCTTACAGTTTGAGTATCCTGCACACACTCAGTCACTTTTGTAGGAGAAAGGAATGACCATGGAAATGTGTGTGAGCAAAGGTTTGACAGATTTTTTTAAAAGACTGATAATAACTAGGTCTGCAACGAATTACAGTTAATCTGTGGCCTATTTTCTCAATCCGTTAATCAATTGGTCTCTAAGAATACTGAAAAATGCCATCGAATTTTTCCCAGAAGCCAAGGTGGTGTCTTCAAAGTCCTCGTTTTCTCAGACCAACAGTCCAAAACCCAAAGATTCTCAGTTTACTGTCAGAAGATGAAGAAAAGCTGCAAATATTCATATTTGAGAGGCTAAAACCAGTAGAAAAGAATCAGTAAAAACATTCAAATATCTAGTTTTATTCGACCAACAGAACCAAAACCCCAAATTATTTCATTTACAGTGAGACGTGAAAAAGAGAAGCAGCGAAACCTTTTGAGTCAGAGAATATTTGGCATCATTTCACTATTTTTGGTTGAAAAATGCTGAAACAATGAATCGATAATCAATTATTTTTCTGTTGATTAACGGACTAAGCGTTTCAGCTCTAGTTCACATTAGCCTAGCTAATAAATATAATGAAAATGATTATCATCTTTCTCACAACAAGGGCACCATATAAAAAAACTGATTAAATTATCAGTCCACTAAACCTCACTTTGTTTCAGTAATGATCTGTTAACTGAGAGGAGATGATACCTGTCTTATTTTTTGATTATGCTTAGGACAATATAATAATTACACATTGTCAACTGTAAATCAAAATATACACTAAATGATTTTCAGTCCCTGGGGCATCCGGCTGCTCGCTGAGGTGCATAACATGTAATTGAAATGTTTTCAGTTGAATTCCGGCTGGGATTTTTTTTGTTGCACATCATCCCCCCTCTTTCATCCTGTGTTTCCTGTCTGTCTCTGGAAAAAAACAAAAAACAAATCAGATGTTGTGACTGCAGATCTTCCTCTTGGACTGCAAACAACCCACACACAACCTCCACCAGTCATTAGGTTGATCGTGTGAAATTTGAGCAGTGGCGTTCGTAATCCAGTGAATCGAAGTGAATATTGGGGAAACACTGACATCACTACAGCTAACTGACCACAAATCCCTGGAAAATTATTGAATGTTTTTCCTTTAGCACCACCGTCATGTATGTTAATGTCATGTATGTTAACTCAGTCAATAGAGTGTGTGTGTGTGTGTGTGTGTTTGCATATTGATGTGTGTGTGAGCCTTTTATCGCTCTCTGTACACTGGAGGTTTCATTCCTGGTTTCCTCTGCATTTTATTTTAAAATATTCACTACAGCTCCACACACACACACACACACACACACACACACACACACACACACACACACACACACACACACACACACAGACACCACATACATACATTCCTCTAAGCTGATATTATAGATGAGATAATGAAAGGTTGAGGAGCAGGTGGCAAGAGCTGATATTACTGCCTTCCCACAGGCGCTCTGATTGTGTGTGCGTGTGTGTGTGCGCGCGCGTGCGTGTGTCCGTGTGTGCGTACGTGTGTGCGTGCAGCTCATGTACAAACACAAACACACTCTTTATCCCTGGAAAAGACAGATATAGGGTAATCTGTGGGATTAAAATACCCATCGAGGTCATGTGGCTTCCTACTGAAACACATTCTCTCACACACACACATGCACACACACACACACATCAACACCTGACTCTGATATGTCAAGGCCAAGGCCACAGCTGCCTGTGTCTTTGGGGTCAAAAGTCACTTCCTTTCCTCTGTCTCTTCACTGCTCTGTATTTTGTTCCTAGAAAGAGAACATGGTTGAATCCCCTGCATGCACCTCAGGCACTGTCTGGGGATTTCTTACAATCTGCGCGCTTTACAGGACCAAAATAAACACTATAGAATATAGAAGTGAGCACTTCTGTATCAAAACACCTCTCCACAGGTGTTTCCAATAAAGTGCTCAGTGAGTGTAGATGTTTGTGTTGTCGGGGCAGAAGTGATTATCTAGTGTAGTTAGTGTTTTTATGGCGAAAGGTTTATTTCCTGCCCTCAGCGGGAAAAGTTTTATGCCTTTACTGAAGTGTTAGTTGCATCATAAGGAACAAACGTTTTGCAGCTGTTTAAAGGTTCCATAATGTGTAAAGGCAGATTCCCATTTCATTTTGATTATAAAGCCGGTCTAGGTTCTAGAGAGACAGCATCACACCCATACTTGCATCCCTGCATTGGTTACCAGTCACATACCGCATAGAGTTCAAGGTTCTTTTATTTGTTTTGGTTTATTTTTGCCTTACACGGCCTGGCACCAGAGTATATCTCTGAGCTCGTCTGCCCCCTCTCCATCCCGAGATCCCTCAGGTCTTCAGACCAGCTACTCCTGGCCGCCCCTTGGTCGAGGCTGAGCAGAAAGTGTGATCGGGCTTTTGCGGTAGCTGCCCTCAAACTTTGGAACAGTTTGCCTCTTCTAATTAAGTGTTCCCTCTCTGTGGACATGGTTTAAGTCTAATCTTAAAACCCACATTTTCGTTGGCTTTTGAGTGTCCCTAAGATTTTTATCTTTCACTTTAATCCCTTGTGTTTTTAATTCAATAAGATAGTTAACACATCACATTTTAGCTATTTCTATGTTGTGTGCTTCTTGTTGTATTTTATTGTACAGCACTTTGGTCAACCCTGGTTGTTTTAAATGTGCTTTATAAATAAGCTTGATTTGATTTGATATATTAATACTGTGAAAGAATCAAAGCGCTCATCCACAGAGAAATGCACACAGCCTGTATTAAGAAACTGAGCCTTAACACGAGTCATTAGGACTTCTGTAACTTTGTGATGTAACAACAAAGCAGTCCCAGCTGTCAGCCGTGCCCCAAGCCCCGCCCACCCAGATAGAAAACGGTCAATCAGAATATAGAGGCATCAGTATATTCATGTTCTCTTTTTAATTTTGGATGTTTAACCTCATGTTTTGTGTCCGGAGGCATCAGTATATCCATGTTTGAGTGTTTATCTTCTCAGTGGGAAGGTGTTAAGATTTTTTTTTTCCTCTCCCTCACAGGATGTCTACCATTCCCACCGCCCTAAAGAGAAACTTCGTCTGGACAGCAACAATAATGAGAACTCGGTCCCCAAAGACTTTGACTCCATTGACAGCAACAGCAACCTGGGTGCACAATCCCAACGCCAACGAGTGCCAGTCGGAAACGGCAAGCACAAGCTGGACAAGGCCCAAGTTCAGAGCATGCTGGGAAAATCTGCCAACGAGGTCCTCAAGTTCCCTCCCATGCAACCCAGAGGGATCGGGCACAATCACAACCACACCCACATCCGTAAACCCCACCCCCAGGCGCCGACCGTCCCAGCGCTGGTCCAGCGGTCCAATCAGGATCCACCGTTCCACCAGTCGAAGAAGTCGGCCAGTCTTGAGCCGAGGAAGGAGCAGCCGCAGTGCGAGATCAGCGGGAAGGAAGCAATTTCTGCTCTGGCGAGAGCCAAGAGCCGGGAGTGTCGGCAGCAGATAGTGGAGGTCTACTGTAAGCACAAGGAGAGAGCGCTGATGCCTGAGAAAGTGCCTCGATACTGCCCCATAGAAGGTGAGATCAGCTGACTGAGGCGCATGAGTTCGTGTCATGAAAACAAAATATTTCCCAGCTCACTTTTAACTATGTAACTCAAGATAACAATATTTCATATTTATATCACATTGATAATTTTGTTCTGTGATCTAGAGACAAAAAAGTGCTGGGAAAAGTCTAAGTCCAGCTTGTCAGTTTGAGCTGTTTCCTCCTTTTATTCACAAGGCGACACCTGAGACACTTGGCTTTTGGTCGTCTGTAAGTTCAGCTCACACTGAACTTAGCCTCCCTTAACTTAGCCTGAGGCTAAGAGAGCTAAAAAAAAACTTTCCCACTGGCACAATTCTGGCCTTTTCCAAAGTAGGCTCACACCATTTTAAGCCTACAGTTTGCTGGCCTGCTCTGAAACAGGGTTGGCGCAGAGTTTGTGGGGTTATCCCCTGAAAATCAACTAAACACAGGGCTGAAAGGAGCCAGGGCTATTCTTAGCCCAGGGCGAAGGATCTAACTCGTTATTGCCACTTCCTTCTTCTTCCCTTTTGCTTTTTACATCAAGCTAGAACTAGACTACAACTAGACTAGAGATTAGACTTGTGGGGTTATTGTGCTGCAACATCAGTCCTGGGAGAATCACATCTCAAGTACCTACAACATCTACGCTACCTTCAGTTACAGCAGAAGAACAAGTACCATCACGTTTTCAGAATTTTGGCATCGACTTGGTACCAATCAATTCTCGTGACATCCCCAGGAACAGCGGTCCAAATTCTGTGTGGAATACAGTCTAGAAAACACAACAGGAGAGATGTCTGTGTTTGAAAGAGCCTCATGCTAATTAGACTGAATTTGTACAGGGAGTGATATGGTATGTTTCGCAGATACAGTAGCCTGCGTTTATGGGAGTAATCCAGAATATGAGCATACAGAGTTATTGTAGATAGTTGGTTTAAACGTATAATAACTAACTGTAATGTATTTAGAACATAGTGATTGAGTCAGTCAACAAATGAAAGGGTGACAGTCTTACAGACAGAAAGCGAAGGAATGGGACGAGCAGGCGGTTGCTTTGAAGTGGCACATTGCAACAAGTCAAAGATTTTATTCTTTCTAAATTTACCCGTTGAAGAACATTTTTAACCCGGCACGTGCCAGAACCTTGGAGAAGCATCCCGTTGGTTTCCAATTCTATTTCTAGGGCCTTAAAGCATGAATGGATCCAGTGAGGCTGCTCACCACAAGGATGATATTCATCCAGTGTAATTACACCCTAATTAAACAAGCAGTTCGTAGTCTTATTTTGAGAATGGCTGGCTAATGATTTACTTGTAGTCGTACTCTCTTGAACCACCCAGGGCCGTTTGAGGTTTAATTTATATGATTATAGGTGGCTTTGATGGTACACTAGTCATTATATGTACAGACTGAAGCCGGGCTGGAGCAGCAGGAACGGATGATTTGGTTTGTTCTGATGTTCGAGTTTGACTGACGTGCGCTCAGTCTTTTAAAAAGAACTAGAGGGTTGTTGAAGCAAAGATTGGTGTTTCTGTACTCGTGCAGACATAAGAGCGTATCCATGACATCGTACACGACGTCTCGCCCCCTGCCTCCCTCTGTCTGCAGAGCAGTGCTTGACTGTGCCGCCTGATTACAGTTATTTCTTCTCAAACTCCAATCCCAGCATGCCTCACAGCCTGGGAAGGTCACTAATTAGGCTTCGCAGGCCTCAACCCGTGCCATCTTTAGAGTGAGCGTGATGATGGAGAAGCATTAGGCTGTCATATAGATTGTATATACAAGAGGCAGATTTAGCTCAGCCAGCCACAGGCTGAATATTTCCTGGAAAGACAGAAGTGAAGATTGAGGAGTGGAGAACAGGGAGAACAGTGATGGTGTTGTTGAATTACAAACCACTCTTTAGACCAACAATCAAAAAAACAGCAAGTATTGTTTGTTTTTAATCTTTTAATTTTGTCTAATAAAAATTAGAAACCAAATGACCAAAATCTGAGGAGCTGAAAACAGAGAATGTTGTTGAAAAATAACTGAAACTCATTATTAAAATCGTCATCATATCTAAAGCAGAGATCACTGAATCTTGGGATCGAACAACAGCCTAACCCATGTTGATGTTCTGACCCGAGTAGTCAGTACTCGTGGGTAAGACCACACCCATCTTCAAACTCTGTCTTCATTTTGATCCCAACTGCACATCCGTCCACAGACAGACATATAAACATCAGCCAAATCACTCCAAACCCCCTCTGGTAGTTCCTGCTACAGATGACATGCACAGACTCACAAGGTGAAAACAATATGAGCCCGGCTGTCGCTGCTGGGACGCTAACTGCACTTTGGACAATGCATTATGTTCCATGAGCTGTCGTCCTTATCTTCTCTGTCCAGGTAAGGTTAACGTGAACGTACAGTGGGACGAGGACCCCTCTAACGCTGCCCGGCTCGTGCCGGTGCGGATCGCCTTCGTCCTGGTCGTCCATGGCCGAGCCTCGCGTCAGTTCCATCGTCTCTTCAAAGCCATCTACCACACCTCACACTACTACTACATCCATGTAGACCAGGTGAGAGCCCTCACAGTTATTCAGAAGTTTTTGGGGACGTCTTTTTCTGTGAAAGAGACAAAAAAAAGTGAAAGAAGATTTCCTGAAAAGTGCCAACTAATAGTTCTCAGTGAGATTAGTAATGTAATGTAATGTGTTTTCACATTACAGGAAGTTGTTTGATTCAGTTCTGTATTTATTAATGGTGATTTTTAAAAAGAGTTTATAACCTCCCTCCTTGTTTTCCTTCCCTCCTCCCCTTCCCAGAGGTCCAACTACCTCCACAGAGAGGTCCTGTCTCTGGCCAACCAGTATCCGAACGTCAGGGTCACTCCTTGGCGGATGGCCACCATCTGGGGCGGGGCCAGCCTCTTGACCATGTACCTGCGCAGCATGGAGGACCTCCTCAAAATGACCGACTGGTCTTGGGACTTCTTCATCAACCTGAGCGCTGCCGACTACCCCATCAGGTAAGAGAACGGGTCAGACAGCAGAAGAGTCACCTGTAGTGAACGATTTTACGTTTTTGTTGAAAACAGCTTGAAATGCCAATTAAAGTTAAACTAGATCTGAATTTTAGTTCAGGCAAATAGACAAATGTAAGAAATATAATAATGTAAAGATAACTGCTGTAAAAAGAAGTATTAGAAACCATCAGGAAAAATCTTTTTCTTGGGTTTTAGATAAAGGTCCATAGTTGGTAAATATATTTTTGGCCTGTTGTTGTGTGGTTTGTTTGAAACTAAAAAGCTGTATAGAAAATGTATTAAAGCAGATTGGAGAATTGTTTGCGGAAATGATCTCTAAAGAGAGCTTTTGCCTTTGATCCCTAAAGGTTTTGTTAAAAGTCCCTCCATTGTTCTCATTATATACCACTGCAGAAGACTGCAGGAGATTTACCGATCATGTCAAGTTCCTGCCAAACACACAGCACATTGATTTGGAATAGGACTGTGTCAGCTAATGGACCCTAACCAGTGGCTTGGCAGCCCCGCGGGCCCAGTTTGGTTTGTTTGAGATCTTATGGATCAGGTTGTATGGCCAATAGACCACAAGTGCATTGACTTTGAATGGACTGGGACTCTATAGCTTTGACGCAGAGCCCTTTAATGGCTGTCTTGCTGCTCGGGGATTTGAGAGGATCTTTATTGTTGAGGAAAAGCGCGTAGCTGTGATCAGGGGAGACATTGACTGATGCTTCACTCACTGTAGCTGCAGCAGAACAGAAAGTCGTTGGTGGAGGATCTGGTCAGTGTTGCGTTTGGCTCACTGCTGACTGATCTGTTGGACCTGGCAGAGATGTTGTGATTCTTAAAGCGGTCCAGGAGCTTGTGTCCAGCTGAGTCACGCCTGTTGCATAACAGTGAAATCAAATTATCAAAGGTAACATGAGGCTGATTGTCAAGTGTTAAGTTGGATTCAGTCCACAGCAAAGATGCTAATTTAATGTGGAGCGAACATGTCATGACTGGTACCAGATCAGCTTCATAAGGTCAACCAGTTATCAGATTTGTTGCTAATTGATTTTCCGTCACTGGTTTAGGTGACAGGGTTTAACCGAGCAGATCCCCAGTTAAACCCTGTCACCTAAACCACATTATTTGGAGATAAAAACAAAATTCCCATTGATAAGTTATGGGATAACTTTATGGTTCTAACTAGGCCTTTCCTACTCACTGTAGCTGTTTACTGGGGTGAGCTTTGTTTGTGTTTCCAGTTAAGTAGGTCGGACATAGTGACTGCTTCAAACTGGGGTTTGCTTCCAACATGTGTGATGCTCTCGACAGCTGGTGTTGCTCCAATGAGTTAAGCTAAAATAAAGTTGATTGTTTGATTCCAGTCCTATGCTAACACTCACTTACTGAGCCGACCTCTTTCCTCTGAGTAAACCTAATCTAAAACTGTTTATCCTGACACTAAGCTGTCTCTTCAAAGAGGCTCGAACTGAAGTCTTTATCTTAATGACTTCTCTTCATCTTTCTGTTCATGAATGTACTCCTCATAAAGTCAGAAATACAAGAACACACACACACACACACACACTGATCTGATCTGTTCTCTACTGTCCTACCATCAAAGTGACTGTTTGAACACCCTTCCAGCCAAAATCCATAACACAGCCACAGCATTAGCTCCACAGCATCAATAGCTGTGACGTCATTAAGGCACATGCAGTGTGAGTCAATAGAGCTCTGTGTGTGTGTGTGTGTGTGTTTCTGTGTGTGTGTGTGTGTGTGTGTGTGTGTGTGTGTGTGTGTGTGTGTGTGTGTGTGTGTGTGTGTGTGTTTCTGTGTGTGTGTGCAGCGAGAAGGTTGCATAAACTTTCTAAATGTCAGACAGATTTTTAAATTTGGGTTACATGATGTGGGTTTGTATTTTGTATTTTAAAACTAAATGTCTTTCATTTTTCCACCAAGAATAAAAGCTTCTAACTGAAGAGATATGTGTTCAGAACAGACAGGGTCGATTTAGCTGTTTAGTTTCCTTTGATTTGAGTTTTATCATGAGAACAAACACTAGAATAAAGCCAACTTTTTATTTTATGTCATTTGTTTATAATTACCATATGGTAGATGCAGAGTAAATCCTTGTCTCTGATTGGCTACTCTTACTGTGAGCATACTTGTGATTTTCATGTGATCACTTGAGCTTTGCTCTTCTTCTTCTTCTTCTTCTTTGCTGTTTACTCGTGGCTCTTTTGGACATTCTCAACAGGAGTTCTTTGGTTAATACAGACGCTGATCCCTGATGTCTGACAGGAAAATGGACAATATTTCAAATATTGATTTTGGTCAGCACTAAAAATGGCCAAAATTAACACTTTTATCTGAAGGCAAATGCACTGAGCTGCTATAACATCCATGTGGGTCAGTCCACACCTGTTATGAAGCCTCTAGACAGACACACATTTGGAAACTTTAATGCATTTTTGGAGGGGAAAATGTCAAATGTGAAGATTCCCACCCAACCATGATCGTGTCAAAGATCATAATTAAACCAAAAAAAAAATCCAAGATGAAAAAAATCTTATATGACCAGTGGGATTTAAAATAGCTGCAAAATCCCAGCAGCTTCAGTCCAAGTTTGATGTGTGTCAGTATCTCATGAACACACACATGCCCTCGAACACACATGCACACCTGCGGTTCGTCTTAACGACTGTAATCAGATGTAATCAAAGCAATCTGTCTGTCTGCCGTCCCATCTACTCATTAGGAAGACACCGGGTTCGAGCCGTGTGCTCACAGCTTGTACTACATGCAGGGAGTGGCCGTCTCCTCTTCGGGCCACACACCAGCACTGAGCTGTTTTCCCTCATTTGAAAGACGAAGCTAAATAAGCCGGTCCTGCTGTCCCAAACAGAGACACATGGAGTCACTCCAACTCGCCTAAACAGAAGAATGTTTTGCATTGTTTAAAAAAATAGAATGCAGCGTTTATGCAACCTGCTTAGACGTGAGTCCATTTAAGAGAAAAATACTTAAAACACAAGAAAAAACAATTGGGAACAAACGTGCATGAGTCGTCCTCCCGACGACACCAGAGGAGTTTCCAAAGCTTGACATGTTTCAGAGAGTCAAATGATCAAAAGTAAATTAAAGGAGTGGATGAATTTATAAGATGATGGGATGTAGAGATTGGACGTTTAAAAGGCCGCCACTCCATATTATCATCAGGTCAGGCTCAGCAATGAAGCATCTGCACACATCAGTATGATACAATATAGGTTTTGCAATCAAACATGATATTTGACAAACTTGCGCAAACTTAAACGAGCAGTTTCCAACATTTTGACCTGATAAAGTTCACACAGTTCATCCTCCAGGGAATATGAATATGCAAATTTAATGACAGTCCATCCAATAGTTCTTCATTTCTTTTGAAAAACATAAATGTCAACCTCGTGATGGCGCTGGAGAAGTCCACGCCTCACCAAAGTCATTAGGATGCATCGTCTGGGGGCCATGAATGTCTGTGGCAAATTTCATATTAATCCATATAATAGCTGACTGACAGACTGACACTGGCATTGCTGGAGCAATTCTTCCATAGTGGCTAACACAAAGATCATATCTGACCTGGAGGTCATAAAGTCACCTGTCAGTCTAACCAGAGTTTACAGCATGAAGCTGGAGGTGTGTTTCTGTGATAAAGTGTCTGTGCTGTGTGGTTACTACCTGAGCTGATGATTGACAGCTGCTGTCTCTCCTCAGGACCAATGAACAGCTGGTGGCTTTCCTGTCAAAGTACCGGAGCATGAACTTCATCAAATCTCACGGCAGAGACAACGCACGGTAAGAGAGTCATCAGCTCCCTTGGTCTCTCTATCACGGTTTCTCTCTCTCTGTTTGTGTTTCGTTTTCTCTGATGATGGAATCAGTGTTTTTGTTACAAACCAAAAAAGTTTTGGATCTACTGCTCTAACTGTCAGATGGAAGTTGTCTCATGATTTTATTTTATAGATTCAATGTAATCTGAAAAATGGTGTGGTACTTGGCTGAGGTCAAAACATATTGACTAGTCCTTGTACCAAAATATGGACAAAAAATTATATATTATATTATTATATTAGCTTATATTTTGCTGGCTTGCATGATATGAGGATTGATCTGAAATGTGGAATGAAAAATATACAGTTTATGTTTCTACAGTATAGAAGTGTTTGATTCCTGTCTTCACCTCAACACTGAAAAGTCTGTCTTCTCAGTTTTATCCGGAAACAGGGTCTGGACCGTCTCTTCTACGAGTGCGACACCCACATGTGGCGTCTCGGGGACCGCAAGATCCCAGAGGGCATTGCGGTGGACGGAGGCTCTGATTGGTTCCTGCTCAACCGGCCCTTTGTGGATTATGTGGTGAACTCCAGAGACGAGCTGGTCAGCAGCATGAAGCGCTTCTACGCCTACACACTGCTGCCTGCTGAGGTAACACACACACACACACACACACACACACACACACACTGCACTCAAGTAACCCCTTCGGACTCTATATACAAGTAGAGAGAAAGTGTTTAATGGGATTCAAAGTCTGAAGCCCTGCGGGTGTCGCCAGAGGAGAACATGAATATCAACAGCATATTTCAAGATAATCTTTGCTGTGTTATTGTTCTTTGGCTTACTTCAAAAATCCATAAAACAAAACAATAAAATATCTGGACTTTTTCTTTCTTTAAAGGTCCCATATCTTACACTTTTCCGGTTCAAGCGTAAATGGGGTCTTAGATAATCAATGAACAAGTTTGAGTCATTTGTATCAAGCAAAAATATATATGAACTAAATGAATTTTGGCTGTTGGATGGTTGAGAAGAGATGTTAAGTTGACGCTCAGCGCCAGCAGGGGCCTCAGCATCATTAGGGGACCCACCCACCCCGTCCTCCGCACCCTGCTACCATCCGGCAGGAGGGAGCAGAGCATCAAAACCTCCTCTACCAGACTCTGCAACAGCTTCGTCTCTTAAGCTGTGAGGCCAGCACTCACAACCCCCTCCCAATTGGTCCATGAGCAAACAATATTTCACTAATACATATTTATGATATACATATGTAGAAGTGACGACTAAAAAAGCTCAAACCTTAAACTTAAGCTCTGAGAAATTGTGATTATCGCTCCTTTTTTAAATTCATAGGTTCAAATGTTGTATTTAACCAAGACATCATTGATATTGTTCTGGCCAAGGCACGATTGATTTCTGTTTTTGTGTTCAGATTAGATACTTAATTGAGACTGGACGACAAATGTGAAGAGAACCTGTCTGTCTCTCTACACTTGCCTCCCCCTCCAGTCTTTTTTCCACACCGTGCTGGAGAACAGCGCCCACTGTGAGACCATGGTGGACAACAACCTGAGGCTCACCAACTGGAACCGCAAACTGGGATGCAAATGCCAGTACAAGCACATTGTAGACTGGTGTGGCTGCTCACCCAACGACTTCAAACCTTCGGATCTGCCGCGCTTCCAGGTGAGCCCTAACATAATGACACAACCTGAGCCCATTTCCTGTTCGTTTACTCTGAGCTCTGGATGATCTCAGACAATGTTTTTGGCCAATATGAAACAAAAGTCAAGTTTTTAACAAAAAAAAATAATTCAAATTATCTGTTTGGACTTGAGCTGTTGCTTCAAGTTACTATATGTGAAATTCTGCCACTGTGCTACTGACCAAGATTAAGGGCTGTGTTTCCATGTTGGCACCGTGCAAAGTGCAGCTCTGTTCCAGCATAGTGGCATTTTTGAGTTTTTTCTTCGACAGTTACGCAGCTTCGTGCAGCCAAAGAACTTTTTAACCTCTCAGTTGTCACAAAGCTTTCCATGGCTGATCTCTTTTTTAGCATCAAGTGAGATGAAGTTACAGTCCTGTCCGGGCTGCTTGAGCACAGCTATAACGATAACGGTCATCATGTTAGTAATCCTGGACACTCAGTCCGTCTCTCGCGTCCACCTTTCCTTCTCAGGGCCGCGGTGGCGCTGGACCAGAATAGCTTTGTATTCACAAATTAGCAGTGCCGCTTTTACTTACAACAGGCGGTGCTTGGCTCTGTGTAACGACAGACCTGGAGACAGCGTCTGTGGTGGAGCTGCTGATGGTTTCTATAAGGAGAGCTGATCCTGGAAACAGCTGTACACTGCAGGCAGTTAGTATTTTTAGAGCTTTGTAGCTAGCTGCCGCTGAGGTTTCTAAGGTTGTCATTATCATAATGTTGGGTTTCACCAGCGAGCGAGGCAACTGAGTCCTGACTGTATAGGGTCAGGAACACACACATGTGCAGTATGTACAGGACAATAGACACATTCACACACAACTGTAGTTATTTCCGTTATTTGACTGTTTGAAACACCTCCTGCCTTATTTAAAAATTACTTTTTTTTAAGTTGCCCATCTTTCTGTTTTCTTACATGGCCCACTCAAAAATGTTGGCAGCCCACATCTGACCCCATAAGAGTACAGAGGTCAAGTAGTGCAATATCACAGCACAGAAGGAGAAACACGTAGGAAGCTTATTCTTTGTTTTTCTTTTTTCTTTTTTTGATTCCCCATCTGTCTTCTGACTTTTTCATTTTAATTCTTCCTGTTGCTAACCAGCTATCCATTTTGATACATTATTTGTCATGGATTTAATCTTTGAGCGCACAGTCAGACTGAGCTAGCAAGCAAGTATACGATGTTCCTACCGTTGACTTGTCACAGTGATAGGCCGTAATATGAGAAAAAAACAATGACAGGAGTTTATTCTTTTTTACTGTTTAAACATTTACAACGTTTATTGCTATTCACACTAACCACTGCACTGCACCATCGTGCCGACATTTTATTGACCAAAGGTTTGATTGAGCAAATAATCAGCATATAATTCAATAATGAGAATAAAAAAAGCTGCTTTTCTCTGCCTCATATCACTGTGATATTTGTGTTTTGGAAAGTTGATCAAATTTTTGAAACAATTTTGTGTAAATCTGTTAATCAAAAATAATTATATATGTGCACATATACACATATATATATATATATATATATATATATATATATATGTATATAATGATGTATGTATATAATGAAAATAATTATTAGTTATTACTGTAACTAAAAATGTCACTTAAAAATAACCTAAAACAACCAAAAAGAGAAAAGTGGGTAAAATGCAAAGCATCATGGTGCCCAAGGTTGAAGCGTGTCTTGACTAAACACAGGTCCAACAAGAGAGCAGCTCATGTTATAGAACATATAGTAAAAAGATCGTATAATTTCCCTCTGATCTCACGATGAAGGAAAGAAAAATCATTCTTGACCCTGTAACTAGTGGTTTCCACTGTTGCCTTTAGCTGTGTAAGGTCACAGATTGTTCGGTAACAGATCCAGAATAATCTCTCAGATGAAACGGTCCTGCTGAATAACGAGCTCCGCTGTGGTTCTCAAGGTTCTCATTATGCTGGGGTTTCCTGGCTCGTTGGTGCTGCCGGAGCCCACCAAGAGTCAGCCTGGTGAAGTCACACCCTCCTGATGCCATCATGAACCACGCCCTTCCTTCCTCCAGGCTGGGCCTCATGACAAGTGTGTGTGTGTGTGTGTGTGTGTGTGTGTGTGTGTGTGAGAGAGAGTGGACCAATGCTTAGCTTGCTTTTCCGTAGGATGTAGGCTAGAGGGTTCTCAGGTATTTGTTCTTATGGGAAGAGTCTTTGAATATCTATAAATGTACATTTTATTACATTATAAATCATTTTTAGTGTAGATATAGAGACAGTAGTTTAGTGTGGTCTTCATGAGGCATGACAACATAACCACATCATTAACATACAAGAGTATTAACTCTCTAATGTTCACTCCAGAGCAAAAATCTGCAAGTCTATTAAAGATTCATTGTTTTAGTCTTTTTTTTTTTTTTTAAAGTAAAAATTCTTTGGTTCCAGCTTCTTGAAGCTGGATATTTGCTGGTGTCACTGTTCTGTGATAGTAAACTGAATATTTAATGCTTTGTGGCTGTTAGTCAGACGAAACAAGTTATTTCAATATGTTAACTCTGACTTTGATAAAATATGATGGACATTTTTCACCATTTTCGAAGAATTTATAAAACTATAAAATGAATTGATAAAATGTGTAAATAATCTGCAACTTAATCAGTAAAGATGATAATAAGTTGCAGCTCTAGTCAGTCAAAGTGTGTCCAAACTTTTGACTGGTACTGTAAAAGCATAACATGAACAACCTTTTTTTTTGGGTCTCAGCATTGTAACAAAGATACATACTGAGCGAGAGACTTCACAGTGAAAGTCTGTGGGTTAGAGCTCTGTAGTTTCTAAATGACCTCAAACATATCTTTGTCCAATGACCAACACATGTGCCAAAACCAATGAACCGGTGTCTGAGGAAATCAGCTGATATATCAGCACATATATATAATCAGCTGGGATCATGTATCAGTCAGAATCTAGAAAGTAGCATAGACACCAAAACAAACTTGAGGGTCACAATTGAAGCTGAGATGCAGTCCTTAGGTGTTCGTGCTTAGCCTTCAAAATAAAAGATTTTCTTCTGACATAATCATCATTAGGCTTTTTAATATTTAAATTTCTGGTGGCGCAGATGTACCCATTCACATCCATTCAACCTAAATATTAAATATTTAATGTGTTAAATAAATGAATATTTTGATAGGATCTTCCTGTTCACTTCTTGTCTAGTATATTGGATTTGTGTTTCGCAGATTGTCAATTCCAGAGTTTTTTTTTTTTTTTTTTCTTTCTTCACAGAGTTATTTCAGGAAAGAGGAGAACCCTTCACTTCTCCTTTTGATATCCTGGCATGGTGTCAAACATTGTTGGCCATAGACTGTGTGTGTGTGTTGCCAGGGAGTAGTCTGTGGTTGTCATAGTATCATAGGGTTTGGATGGAGCATGAGCTGATGGAAATAAAATCATAGTTTTTACTGTGTGTATGAGTAGTTTGTGTGCATGTTTGAGTGTGTGATTTTGAGTGATCTCTCACTACAGAGACAGTTGCAAAAGTATTTTTGGCTCAAACACTGACCACAGTTCACACTGAGCCCTCACTGAACATGCAGATGCAGATGTGAAATGAAGTGGCCGCTGCTGCTGTTGTCTTCCACCACCACGACAGTTGGTGACAAGGTGCCATGGAGCAAGGCATTTAACAGCCAGCTGCACCAGAGCCGTAGAGAACAGAAGCAGACCGCACTAACTGGCTCCGAGTCTGTGTTAGTCAGTTTTCTGCTTGAACGTCACATCTCTACCACCATTAACCCACTGAGCTCTGACGCTGCTTTACTTGACATATTCTTTGGTGCAGGTCACATGATAGTGAATAAGTCTACGTCTCTTTACTGATTTTTTTTTTTTTTTTTTTTTTTTAATTGAATGTCAAAATGGATTGTAACTTTAACTATGTTCGTCCCTGCTTATGTCCTCCTGTCTTTCCTGACCACAGCAAGCGTCCAGACCCACCTTCTTTGCCAGGAAGTTTGAGGCCAGTGTCAGTCAGGAGATCATCAGCCAGTTGGACTCCTACCTGTTCGGAGCGTATGCCTCGGGCACCCCCAACCTCCAAGCCTACTGGGAAAACATCTATGAGCAAGAGACGGACGGGCCTGCCAGCCTATCAGACTCCGCGCTCACCCACTACCACGCCTTCACTCGTATGGGATTATCCCGCGCTGCCAGCTCACTGCAGGGCCATCCCAACGATAACAGCTGCAGGTACAAGCATGGGCACCAGGCATGGCATTGATGTATTAAGAGAGCTGGATGCAGTGTCATAGTCAGTCTTCCTGACTAAGTTTGTCCCTGTCCAACAAGTACTAAAAAAAAAAACCCATTAAGCATTCTCCCTATACACCACCGCTGGCACGTTTTTCCCCTGTTTGGTCACTATTTAAGATATGACGTCCGACTGTTGTCCCAATTATTAACTGGAGACATCAGAGAAGTTTACTGAGGTAAACTAGGTGTTTGCTCAAGTGCAGCAATTTGATTTCCCATGTAGATCCATGTAGTGTAAAGAATAGATCTCACAGATGTGAGAGCAGAAATCTGTGCTAGAATCACTCCAGGCCAATTTCTGCCTCATCTACAAGTATCAGTCCTCACCTGCTGTGAGTGTATTAAGGTGCTTTGTATAAGTCATACAGTCGCTGGGTCAGTAAATTCAGCCCTTGTGCTTTCTGCTGAGAGAGGAACTGCACAGTCACTGTCTGAGTGAAAGGAGGAGAACTGGCAGATGAAATGTCTCTTTCCAATAAACTCACCACCACTGATGTTTGTGTGTGTTTGCCAGTCCAAATTAAATATGAAGATAACGCTGGCTTGTCCAGAGGTACAATCAGGCTTCAGTTTCTGCACAGGCTGGTTTTTTCCAGCTGTGTGTGTGTGTGTGTGTGTGTGTGTGTGTGTGTGTGTGTGTGTGTGTGTGTGTGTGTGTGTGTGTGTGTGTGTGTTGGTGTGTGTGTGGGGTGGAGACCCACAGTAGGTACAAGGAGGTACTTGTTGGAGTTCGGGTGGGGATTGGTAGCTAGAGTGGGTGGGGGCAGCATTATGGGAAGTGTGTGTGTGTGTGTGTGACAGAGAGGGGGGAGGATAGGGGGAGTTAAAACAGGACTAGTCTGTTCCTTTCAGCCTGTGATTTTTAGTCAGGCAACATCTTAAACCACGTCAACACTGATGTGGAATACATTTGAAAACACATCTACCTGTCAAGACATGGTTCCACATTCAAACTTTGAGATAGTTCACAGTTTACAGATGTTAGTCTACACTTCAACTGAAAACAACAAAACCGTTAAATCTCTCCCCAAATTGTGCATCACTGCCAACAACTAGTTCACAGCTGATCACACAGTGCAGGTGTTATTACTCACATGTTGTGTGTTTTTAAAAAGTGATTTGCTCAAATGTTAGCTTGTTGATACCCAGGGCTTAGTGTAATTACTGGGCTGCTGCATTCCTGCCTTCTCTTAAACCTCTGTACACTGATTAGCAGTCTGACCACGGAAACACAACAGGATTTAGTCTACAGCCAAGCTAACGGCTCTGTAAGGGTGTGCTTAGGCAAAGCAGAGTTTTGAGTTAAATACTAATGTCGGCGTGCTAACATGCTGATGTTTAGCAGGTGTAATGTTTACCATGGCCACTATCTTGGTTTAGCGTTTTAGTGTGCAAAAAGTTGCTAATTGATATTAAAACTTATTTGTTCATAAAACAAATGGACAATTAAAGGTCCCATATTTTCCATCTCTTCAAGAAGCAAATCAGAGGAGAAGCTCTGATTGGCTTATTGAAGAAATTGACTGTTTTCTGAGTGATTCAATAAAAATATAGCAGATTTCAGGTAAACCAAAAGAAACCAAATCCTGCCGAGTTGGATGGTGGTTCGAGGTGGGCATGGCTTTGGGAATGGCTGAGGGCGATGACTGCTTTGTTGTGACATCACAAAGTTGCAGAAGTCCTGACAGCTTGTTTTAAGGCTTAGTTTCTGAATACAGGCTGTGTGCATTTCTCTGTGGACTGAGCGCTTTGATACTGAACAGTATTGATGTAGAACCTAGATCTGCTTTATAATCAAAAAAGACATGGACCTTTATCTACGTTTATACTGTATGGACCTTTAAAATTTAGTCTTGATGATTAATCAATAGATTAAAAGTCAAGTTATTACAGTTCACCCTGAGAGGGACAAAAATGTGTGTTCGAAATGTCACGGAAATCTGTCCAATAGTTGTTCAGATCTTTCACTCAGGACTAGAGAGGTGTGACAGACCGACCTCTATAGAGCCGTCCCACTGTGTCTGTGACATCACCTGATTAGAAATGACACAAAACAAGTGATTACAGAAACGGTTTATCAGCTTCGTGTGGATGGAAAACAACAGAGAAAAGATGCATCTTAAAAATGTACCCGCTGTATTGCAGACATGGTCTAAGTGCAGTATGTGTGTGTGTCTCAGGTACATGGCCATGACCCACCCAGTGTCAGTCCACCTCTACTTCCTGTCAGACCAGTTCCAGGGCTACCTTGTGCGTCATGTGGCCACTAACCGAGCCTCCACCCAGCTGGAGAGCCTGGAGACCTGGGTGACTCCCAAAGACCACTTCACCCTGGCCAGCCCCCCCCATCCCACCAACAGACTGCAGCATGTCCAGGTCAGACACACATACACACACACAAATATACTAATATATTTATATCAACTTGGCCAACATGGATACAGTAGCTGATATTGTCTGTGCATATTTCATATTCAGTATATTTAAATGTCATATTCAGCTATGTTTTAAGCTGCTTGTCAAACATTAAAGTTTGTTTTCAAATCATCATCATCAGTTTAAAACTATGTAGTTGTTGAAGCAGTTTGAGCCTGCAGGTTAGTCTGGTTAGAACTACTCTGACCCTCTTCCTGTTCTTCAGGTGGGCTCGGACTGGGATCCTAAGGAGCGTCTCTTCAGGAACTGGGGGGGTCTGCTGGGGCCCGAGGACGAGCCGGTGGCGGTGCAGCGCTGGAGCCGAGGCCAGAGCAACCTGACGGCCACCGTGGTATGGATCGACCCCACCAACGTCATCGCTGCCACGTACGACATCCTGGTGGACGCTTCCGCCGAAGTCACCCACTACCGGCCTCCGCTCACCCCGCCGCTGAGGCCCGGCGTGTGGATGCTGAGGGTGCTGCACCACTGGAGCCCGCTGGGCCAGACCAGCTTCATCGTGGCTCCACTGGAGTTTCATCGGCAGCAGCCCATACAGCAAGGTGAGCGACCCCAACACTGCCACTGTGTTCACATCCATATAAAGAAAATCCAGATCACTGAGAGAAAGCAGGTTCAGGCAGGACACAGACCTGGAGATTCACCAGTTCACATCAGAATTAGGGTTTCCATCAGAGTATATGTGTTTACAGTATATATATATAATATGTACACTCAGTTGTCAGTTTATTAGGTACACCTAGCTAAAACTAAGTTAGTGTCATTGACATACCCTCATTGATTTGAATGGGGTGGACAAAATAATAGAAAGACATGTCAACATACTTTAATTCAATGCAGTTCAACGGCACACTACATCCTCCAAAATGATCAAACACTTGAATCAATACATGAAGGAGGATTTATTGTAGGACTGTTATTATTATTAGACCCCAGAAGTTTTAGCTAGGTGTTCCTAATAAACTGACAACTAAGTGTAAATTTTACTGTAAATCAAATTTTCTGGAAATTCAATTGAGAAAGCATTTAGACAAAAATTCCACTCACAGTACTTTGGTTTTCCAGAACTTCTCTAATGAAATTAATTAGCATTTAGTTTGCTCATTATCAATACTGTAAATATGATAATGAGAAATAATTCAGTTAAATAAATACCTGTCAGGTCAGTAAAATACCAACTGCACCTTTATTGAACATCAGTATCAAACTTGATGGCACCTGTTGAAATGATATTCAACAGCTTAGAGGGATCACTGTGGTTCACATGTCATTAACAGATACACACACACACACACACACACACACACACAGCAGAGGCCTTCCTGTCACAGCTGTCAACACCATGCATACTTATATTTATAGTGTCAGTATCCAGTCACCCACACACACACACACACACACACACACACACACAGGGAGGTCAAACAAATCAAATAGTTGCCCAGGAGAGGCTAATTTAGACAGAGGTGACCCTGTGTGTGTGTGTGTGTGTGTGTGTGTGTGTGTGTGTGTCTAAGTAAAGCTCAGAGCATGAATAGATTTTTATGGGTTGGTGTTATAAAGTGAAAGAGGCATGTGATGTGATCTGATCTGAGTGTGTGTCATTGTGTTTTCCATGCACCAGTATCCATCCCTCTATAGCTGGTGCCTCTGTGTTCAAATACAACTGGTTCACCTCTAAATAACTTAAATTAGATCTTTGTTTAACGACACCCCCTGGTGTTCAGAAGATATTTCCACAATCCTCAAAGATTCAACAATCTGGACGAAAAAATACTCCATCCTTACACATTATAATAATATCTCTATATTTTCAAAGATATCATTCTTTACTTTGTATGGAAAAAGGTGAATGAAAGGTACCAAAATATACTTATAAAGCATAACATTTTAATGTTTGGTTTACAGGAGATTTTTTACTTCAGAGACGTAATTTGGAAAACAAGTTAAAAAGCTTTTGTTTAGCAGCAAACAGAATATTTGTTCATCCAAATAGATAAAAGAGGATTCTGGAAATACCTTTGGAGCAGTGTTAAGTTATGTCAAACAAACCTATGGACTGGCTAAAGATGGCAGGTTTTTACTTTTTGGAAAATCAACTACGCAACTCAGTCACATAAACTTCTTCCTTAACCTTAAAGGAGAAAACGTTGCCCTGCTGTACAAACAGCACACTGTGGACAGTCTGAGTAAAATGTTCAAATTTCAAATCCACATTCTCAGGCTTTTAAATCTGATCTAAAATTCTCTTTTCTTCATTTTCCACCCCCCCTCTTCTCCTCCCTCCCTCTCCTAACACCCCCTTGTTGTGATCCAGAGGACACTCGGCGGCTGCACGCCGGCCCAGCCAGGAACTCCTACATGGAGCAGAGCTTCCACGGCCTCAACCCAGTGCTGCGGCTGCCAGTGAGCCTGGGCGCTGTGGAGGAGGCCGAGGCCAACGCTGGACTGACGGGGGCGCCGCTGCGTCACTGGCTGGACAGGTTGCTGGAAGGCCACTGGTCCGCCTCAGACGTCTGCTCGACGGGCCCCAGCGCCTGTCCCGTCATGCAGCGATGCCGCCTCACAGCCTGGAGCTCTGCCAGCCCCGACCCCAAATCTGAAGTGACCCCGCCCAGAGAGGACGGACGGATCAGGTAGCAGACGGACGGACTGAGGGACGTGTGAATGGAGGAGGGGAACAAATGAAGGAGAACATGGGGCTGATGCCCTTTTAGTGTCATATTTATTTATTTAAAGTTTGTGAATGATGGTGAGGCGGCGGTGAAGGAGAAGGATGGAACTTCAGAGGGAGCGACGAGAGGACGAGGAACAGACACTTCAGTTCTCAGTCTGCTGCTCTCACTGAGATTTGGGACTAGAAAACTGTGTGTGAGTGAGTGAGTGTGTGAGTGTGTGAGTGAGTGAGTGAGTGAGTGTGTGTGTGTGAGTGCGTCAGAAGAACTGTATACCTCTTGTTGTATGAGTGTGTTTTTATATGTTGAGAAGCTCAAAACAGATGTTTTAGCTCATTTTTAGGCCCATTATCTTAATAATAATCATTTTTATGATGAAGGCTCCATTTCATTAGATAAATGATGTTTGATTGAGCTCATTTATTTTATTTGAGTTCACAGTCACCCAAGAAACCCTGAATTCTTTCATGCAGTTTTCCATTTTTTTTTTTGAAAAAATTAACAATAATTAAAAAAACAAGCAGCTGCCCAGGAAAATTTGTTAAGAAAAAGTCGACAGTTAATACTTTGATCAGCTAATGTTATCATTAACAATTGTTTGCTGACAAAAAATCCTGAAGATGTATTTCTTGATGGGTTAAAATCCTGCAAGTAGCTGGTTCTGTTGAGTTATTGAACTGTTACTATCTCATTATCTTGATAACAAATGCAGATAACACTGTGTAGGCCTGTTTTATTTGATGTCTCTGAGGCTGAGTGGAAAGACAAAGAACATGAATACAGATGCCAGTAATCCAGGAATAATGAAGATTAATTTATCACCACAATACAATTTGATTTCTTGAGAAACTGCCATAATTAAATGTTGGTAACCAGCTTGAAACACTAATTACACGCATCATTTGTTTTCTAGATATGATGCTTCAGAGATAATGGGTCTAAAAAAGTTACTAGCAACCACAGACATTCTCATACAGAGCCAGGTGGGTGTTTTTGGGTGGGGGGGTGGATTCATTTAAATTATTTCCTCAAATGACCAATTTTTGCACACAGTATACATGTATTCCTTCAGTTTGGTTATTTGTAGTCCTAAAAAGTACAATATTTGCCTCCACACAGGTACCTCAGAGTTTTCCTTTAATATACTGTAGTACTTTAGTAAACCACCGCTGCAAACTACCTATGAAGAACTTACTGAAAACGTTCCCCCTTCACAACGATCGGCTCCGTCAGCGTGCGTGTGCGCGTGTGTGTGTGTGTGTATGTGTGTGTGTGCGCTTTGTTTTCATTGTGTGCCATGTCTGAATCCTTCAGACTGCCTGAGACTTGAAGTGTGACACGTCTGCCATGCTGGAACTCAGAGGAGATTCACCTCCAATTTTCTTCCTTTTCTTTTAACTTCACATTTTTATTTGCTCTTTGCTGTAGAAACTGATGTGACTGTGTAATTTATTTCAGAAGTTTATATAAAACAAATTTTCGATGATTTTAGATGACTAATTCAGTGACTAATATTTGATGCTGATTTTTGGCGCTTTTTGGACAGAAATGTCTGCCTCCGTCAGTGAAATGAAATGGCCTCCTCTCCTCTTTGCCTTTTAACGTAGCTGCTCTCATTTCAAACTGTGACTTTATTACAACTACATTTTTTCACTTAAATAGGTTGTTTAAGTCAGGTTCTTTATGTTGATAGGATATTTCTGGGGCAGTCAGTCAGTTTTTTATTATCAGTCTTTGTTGTAATTTTAGTAAATGTATAATGTCAAAAATATAACAGAAAATGCCCAACAACATTTAGCAAAGCACAAGCCTTGAAAATGCATATTTATCTTGTTTATATATATATATGAGCACTACTCAGTTTATAATATCAAAAATTGATAAAAGCAACAAATCTTCATATGTAAGAAGCTGTAAACAAATTAATCAAATTAATTACCACATGTTGAGAGGTAAAAACAATGAATGAACACAAATGTTGGTTTGTATATTTAAATATTAGTTGATCTGTACTGGTCTCTAATTTCTTTATATTTATATTTATTGTATAATTTCTGAATTTTGAACTGCGAGTAACATCCCCTCCTGTGAATTCAGTTTGATAGAGTAGCAGGTGGAGGGGAGGGAGGAGGCCATCCAAGAAATGTCGATGCACCTTTAGATTTCCATGCTGCTCAATGATGCATTTTGTGCCAAAACAGCTGGCTCAGCAAATAGTTACACCAAGTCTGGGTTGCACCAGTAAGCATATTTCCAACATTTAATACAGTGTCAGAAATAACAATCATAGAATTATCTACATATGTGAATGGTGATTTTAAAACTAAATGGTGAGAGGTTATCGTAGTTAACAAATCCTTAGTGGTGCAATCCATCCTTAGTTATATTGTTCATTACTATAAAAGCTAATATCTAATATTGTTGGAATAAATGGTTCCAGTGTGTGTAGTTACTATATACAATGATAATAATATTGGGACCAAAACCAGAAACCAGTGGAGTTTTGTAAGGATGAGGGGGAAGCTAATAGTGTTATGTTGTTCTGTGACAGTCAGCACTTAGTCAGGACACAAACACTGTCATATTTATTCTACAAAAGAGGCTCTTTTATATAATTTATTATTTGAAATGATGGACACATGGTGCAGATGTTACCAGATGTTTGGGTTGTTATCGATCACTATTGGCTGCTGTTTCTGGGTTTAACCCTGTCAGAGCCGATCTCTGTTGAGCTGTACAAACAGTACAGCAGCAGACTACATGACCAAAACATACAAAGGGCATAAAGATCAGTAAGTTACCGCCACTGCATTGAGGGTGAAACCATTTGATTTAGTTAACCCATTTGGTTTAAACTCTGCATCATCACATTTCACATCATTTTTCAAATTTGACAGATGGCAATCAGAATCACTGTCTTTATAAAGTTTAAACATTATTTATTATTAACAGCTTCCATACTTGATCTGAACTGACAATTCTTTTAACGTATTTCAGTCATTTTAGAGTTGTGTCAAAAAGATGTTCTAAACATTAAAAAAAAAAGTAGGAAAGTGACAAAAAAATTATAGCAAAGTCAGCTTTTATTTATTTTCTGTTCCTGCTCAAGGCAAATGGTATTAATTTGAAAATTAAGAGCCATTTTATGTCCAATATGTATTTTTCATATGACAAGTGAATCTATGTAAATCAGTATTTTGTAAAATACTCAATAGAATATGTACAGTATTAAGTTAATGACTAGCCAGATCCAGGAGTTTGGATACAGCGCTGTGACGGTGCCACAGAAGTCACGTGACTGTTTTTAAGAAATTTTTTCAGACATTTCGATCAAGTGAAAATGTTCAGATGTTGATAAAGTCTTCAGATTCTGGAGGAAAATCCCAGCTGAGAGGTTTTCAGACTATTTTTGCCTCATGTTTTTGCTATGTTTCTTTTTTTAAGGTTTTCTTTGTGCCATTTCTTTGTCTCATTGACTTTTGGTTTTTTTTTTGCTTGTTTTTCTTTATTGTTCTCTCTCTGGGGGTAGTGTCGTGCCTTAGCTGTACTCCTGTTTTAGGAAACCCTCTCTGAAAGCATCAAAACTGTATCAAATGTCCAAAAACCAAAAGAAAGAGAATTGTTGTGAATGCCTTATAAATGACCGTAGTGATTTTGAAGTACAATTTTGGAAATAAAACAGAATCTCTCTTTATTTTGTGCCCATGCAATTTATTTCACTCATGTTTCGGTCTTTTCCTGTTTACAGTAACATAAATATAAAATCTCACCAGGCTTATCATTCAAGTATACATGATTTTCTTTTAAATTACTTGATACATCCCCTGTTTTATTTCAAATGAAAAGATCTTGAGAATTTCCTATGGGAACTTTCATGAATGCTTCATCTCTGCAGTGAAGAGCATCCACAGCTGGCGGTGATGGAATCATCAATAGAGCCAAGGCCAGCCCAAGGCATGAGCAAATTTAGCATCTGCTTAGGGCCCCCTGATGTTATTTAACCATGATAGCTAGCGTTGGCTAGCAAACTTAGCCTGGCTTGTGTCCTCTGTGGGCTAACATTCAAAACATTAAATGGGGGATATATCAAAGAGTGTGTTGAATTTCACTATGACTACTGTACTATAACTTTTTCATGCCTTGCGATGAATTTTTATGCCTTACTATACTATGCCGTTTGGTACCTTACTACACTATGACGTTTTTTGACGGTTTTATTCCTTACTATAGTATGATGTTTTTTTGCCTTACTATACTATGACGTTTTTTTGGCATTTTTATGCTTTACTTTAATATGATGTTTTACACCTTACTATAATATGACGTTTTATACCTTACTATACTCTGACATTTTACAACATTTTTATACCTTCCTATACTCTTACGTTATTTTTGCAATTTTTATGCCTTACTATACTATGACATTTTTTGACGTTTTTATGCCTTATTATACTATGATGTTTTTTGCCTTACTATACTATGACGTATTTTGACATTTTTATACTTTACTTAACTATGACGTTTTATACCTTACTGTACTATGACGTTTTATGCCTTACTATACTATGACGTTTTTTTTTTAGTTTTATACCTTATTATACTGTGATGTTTTTTGACTTACTATACTATGACATTTTTTGACATTTTTATACTTTACTACACTTTGACATTTTTTGACGTTTTATCCCTTATTATACTATGATGTTTTTTGCCTTACTATACTATGACATTTTTTGACGTTTTATCCCTTATTATACTATGATGTTTTTTGCCTTACTATACTATGACATTTTTTGACGTTTTATCCCTTATTATACTATGATGTTTTTTGCCTTACTATACTATGACATTTTTTGACGTTTTATCCCTTATTATACTATGATGTTTTTTGCCTTACTATACTATGACATTTTTTGACGTTTTATCCCTTATTATACTATGATGTTTTTTGCCTTACTATACTAT